CTTTTTGAAATTTATTTTCTACTCTCTCTACCTTACAGATACCTCAGTACCAAATGGAATGAGGTTGATTGCTACAGATGTACTAAATTCTTTGAGCATTAAATAAATACAAATGGTTGTATCTTAATTATTTATATAGAACGTTGGGCCGATATCATGATTTAATATCATAAAAATAGAGGGCAGCAGCTGGAAAGTTATCTCACTCAATCTTCAGAACCAATGGGTTAGCCATTCTTATTTATGAAAAATAAGTCCTTTTTCTTTCTGAATCTGATGGCATTTAAATTCTGGCACTTTTTCAAGGTACTACATGAAGAGGATCCTGAAGGCCATCATTACACAGCATACTGCAACACAAGGACTCTTCCCTTCACCAGTTACAGTACACTTCTAAAATATACCCAACAGTTCTAGTGAGGCCCCAGCCACATCACTATCCTGCTCCAAGGCAAAAGAGGCATGGACACCCTGTCTGTCTAGTTCTCTCTGCTATCTGGTTGAATTCCAGTTCACTTTAATACCCTTTTTGTCAATTTATGTTCTATCTCTTCTTCTAGACCTTAAGTTACTTGAGTTCCCTAAGTTCCTGTTCTATACATTTTCATAGCCTCCTCAGCACCTATTGAAGTGCTGATACATATGCTGGGTGTCTCATGTTTATTGAACTTACTATGACAAGAATCGAAATTAGTTAAGCATACTTTTCTGCAGTTTTGTCCTCAATATCCTAGGCTCTTCACCCGAACCATGCATTACTTTCATCCATCTGGTGTCTCCCCTGGGATTCCCAATGACTCCTTTGGATGGAGCTCTGGTAGCATAGTGCCTAAGGCACTTGACTGCTAACCAGAAGGCTGATGGTTCAAACCCACCACCCACTCCTCGGAAGAAAGGTTGGGCAATCTACTTCTGTAGTGATACCGCCTCGGAAATCCAATGAAGGGTTGCTATGAGTCAGGTCTGACTCGACTGCACATAACAACCACCTTTGGATAGGAATCTATAGTGAATCCATTTTCCTGGTATAGGGTCTATGTAATGATTGCTTAAACATTCTGACCAGTTACTTTCTTTATTCACTTAGTTTCATCTGCTGAAATAAACCAAGTAAAGTCCTGTAATCACATTTTGTTTTAAAGATAATTTGAGAATGGGATAACATCTTCAGTAAAAATAGGCAAATAATTTATTAAACTCTTTGTTTCTTTTATTCCTTAGTGTCCCTTTTGCGGAGAGATTCCTAAATGTTTTCTTGTCCCTTTCAAGGAACAGAAACCCACTCAAAATAAGTCAAATGAAAGCTTGGATTGTCGAGATAAAACAGGCAGTCTCACAGTTATTCATTGATAGAAAGCAATGTATAGCCAGGACAGATTTGAACCAGGCCAGGGAACTGAGTTGCAACATTCTTCTACTCTTTTCTTGGACTTAAGGTCTTTTCCTTTGTTAAGGATGCCAGATTTAGCAAAAGAAAATACAGGGCACACAGTTAAAGTTTAATTTCAGAGAAACAATTAATATTTTAGTATAATTTTTAGTTCATGCAATATTTGAGACATATACTAAATAATTGTAAAAATGGCTCAGTGGTGTCAGATCTCTTCTAACTTAAAGAGGGGGAAGACAATCACTATCAACATCAGCCCAAACCTGATTCCTGTGAGGCAGAGGTCAGATATATCTCTGCTCTTCAACCTTTTACCAATTCTGACACCAGCTATCCTCCCCATGGCACTCTACTTCTCTGCTGGGTTTGATACATTTTTGTGATGGCCACATAGCACTCACAGATTGTACTCACAATTAATGGGGTTTATTAGGGAAGTAACAGGGTACAATTCAGGTTCAGCTTGGAAATAACAGGAACAATTTAGGATATAGTTCTTTGGTTAAGACAGTTTGTCTTTGGCTGCTGCTGCCAGAGCCTCTCTCTCTCTCTGCCTGGGTCCTATGTTCTCGGCCTCTGTCCCTGCTTGGGGAAGTGTTACAAAGCTCTTTAGCTCTGCCAGTAAGTGCCTTGAGGTACCCTGTTCTGGTTACCCAGTACCGTTCTGACAGGAATATACCATAAATGAGATGGCTTGAAGAAACAGGAGTTTATTCTCTTACAGTTT